TACTTAGTTAACTCCTGGTTGTCATTTCATCTTTTCTTTAACTTCTTATCAGATTTCTAATTTCTTTTTAAAATATGATTTTCCCATAATTTTTTTACCTTTTGATACAATTAGCTAAAAATTAATTTTGGGAAAAGGAATAACTGATATGATGTGAAACAGTCAGGACTGAGAGCAGATTAAATGGACCAAAAACCTATGTTGGGGAGAAAAACAGTTCACAGCTGCAGATTTGGTTAGAACATTATGTTTAGGCCATTTGGGCCTCTGACTCCGGGTTGCAAACTCAATAATGGTGTTTTCTAAAATAGCTTCCAATCTCTTGCATGTGCTTTCAGCATACAATAAGGAGGACTAGTAAAAAATACAAGTGTAGTTTTCTGGAGAGATGGGAATGATTACTCCCAGCTGAGCAGGTAAAACATATTGCTACATGAAGAATGTGCTCTTTGCTGATTCTTTATTTATTTTTATTTTTACTTTTAATACAAAGTGTCAGCATACAGAAGCAAGAGAAAATTCACTTGAAAATGTCAGAAAATAAAAGAAGCATAGCAAATTGTATTGTGGGTAAAAATTGATTTTAGCCAGCAAACAAACAAGCAAGGGCTGAGAAGCTTGCTGATGGCTCCTTTTGTTTCTCTTTGATTTAAAACCTCATGCCTGTAATCTAATTAACATCGAACTGAGTTGCAAGTACAGTGGCCTGTTTGGTTCAATAATAATACATTTTATGAAAGGTTAATGAAATGAATTTTTCCTCCATTCAATTCATTAAAAATTGTTCTACAATCAACGGTTGCTAATGGAATAGAGATTAAATATTCATGTTCATAAATTTTCTGTGTCATTTCTGATTTTCCTTCATTTCTGCCTCCATAGGTTGAATTTTGCAAGTACAAGAGTTCACAGACAAAAACCTTGATTTAGAGGTTAATTGCACGCCATTAATTCTTTTATCAAAGAGGTAGTGTGGATAGTGGAAAGAGAAGGAGTTTGGCAGTGGTTTGTCTCACTTTGTAGCTGTATGATTTGGGAAAAGTTTCATAACCACCTCTTTTGTGTAATAGGCATTATAAGAATGTCTCCCAAGACATTGTGAGGGTTAGTGATAAACTATGGAAAGCACCCAGCACTCCTTGGGGCACAGAATTAGCAGTTCAACGAATGAAAACCGCAAAAGTTTTTGGAAAATAAAACACCTACATATATGCAGTAGACCTTAGTGATGATTTATAGTGGCAGGACTGCTATGGTAAGATGGGGCTCTTGTTAATTCTAAAATAGGTGTCAATAGGATGCCTGGGTGGTTCATTTGTTAAGCATCTGCCTTCAGCTCGGGTTATGATCTCAGCGTCCTGGGATCAAGTCCCTCATCGGGCTCCTTATTCAGCGGGGAGCCTGCTTCTCCCTCTGCCTGCCGCTCCCCCTACTTGTGCTCTCTCTTTCTGTCAAAAAAATAAATAAAATCTTAAAAAATATTTCAATATAAATAAACAAATGAACAAATAAGTAAATAAAATAGGTGTCAGGCTTGGGCCTTACAACCTTGTAAACCTTGTAATTCTCATAATCAGTGTGTCAGTATAAAGTCTCTGAGAGGAAAGACTGTTTCATGTTTTTTTTTTTTTTAAAGATTTTATTTATTTATTTGACAGAGAGAGAGACAGTGAGAGAGGAACACAAGCAGGGGGAGTGGGAGAGGGAGAAGCAGGCTTCCCGCTGAGCAGGGTAGCTTAATGACTGAGCCACCCAGGCGCCCCCTGTTTTCATGTTTCTACACAGAGATTTTTGGTCATCTGTTTTTTTTTTTTTTTGGACTGTATTTTTGGTCATCTATTTTCTGCCACCTCCTTCTTCTTTTTCACCTGGGCCAGTGGACCTTATTTAAACTGCGTATGATGTTTTTCCCAGATAATGAATTTACTAGATAATTGAAACTTACCCAATCAGCTGCCAAAGTGTAAACATTTTATTTATTTATTTATTTTATTTTAAAAAATAAATACATAATCTTTATTTATATTTTTAAAGATTTATTTATTTGACAGAGAGAGACGCAGCGAGAGAGGGAACACAAGCAGGGGGAGTGGGAGAGGGAGAAGCAGGCTTCCCACGGAGCAGGGAGCCTGAGGCGGGGCTTGATCCCAGGACCCTGGGATCGTGACCTGAGCCGAAAGCAGATGCTTAACGACTGAGCTACCCAGATGCCCCAACATTTTTTTTATTAAAAAAAATTTTTTTTAAGAGAGGAAAGAGGGAGCAGGGGGAGAGGGAGAGAGAGAGAGAATCTTAAGCAGACTCTGTATGCCAACACGGGGCTCAATCTCACGACCCTGAGATCATAACCTGAGTGGAAATCAAGAGTCAGCCACTCAACCGACTAAGCCACCCAGGCGCCCCTACTTTACAGACTTCTTAAACAGAAGGTGCCAAACATAAATTAACTATTTCCCTAGTCACTCAAGGTAGTCATTATGATCATTAATTTTTGTTTTGTGTATAATTTTTGTCAGTCCCTGGCCCACTTCACCAAAGGTGATTTCTGATCTACAAGCTAGTGAAGCAGATGAGCCACTTGATTAAACAGCAAATACCAAATAAGAGTAACAGTTAGTGAAACATTCAGTTCTGTTCAACTTTTTAAAAAGTGGCTACTCTGTGTTTTATATTTCATATGTGTTATCAGGCAGCAAGCATTGTTACAACTCTTTGAGGTCATCATTATTCTCTCTATAAGTGGAAATGGAACACGAAGTTTGGTGAAGTTAAGTGTCTTGGTCAAAGTCACACAGCTAGAAAGTAATCAGGACAGGATTCCAATGTCAGCCTTATGAGTCCTTTTTCTTTCACCACAGCTGCCTTGGGAGTAAGGCACATAGCTTTAGTTCAGAGCTTTGGTAGTAGTTATTTCTCTTAATATATCGCCTTTCAATTTCCAGTTTAGATTTGTCTTTGGCGGTCTGTTGTTAGAGGAAGACCAAATTTTTGAACTGCATTGTCCAATCTAGTAGCCACTAGCCACTCCTGGCTATTTAAATATGAAGTAATTAAAATGAAATAAAATTTAAAATTTAGTTTCTTAGTCATGTTAGCCACATTTCAAGTGCTCAGTGGCCAAGTGTGACTGGCTAGAAGCTGCCATTATTAGAGAGTACATAGAGCAGTTCTATCATTGCAGAAAGTTCTGTTAATTTCTCCCTTTTTTGGACGGCTGGGTGGCTCAGTCATTAAGCGTCTGCCTTTGGCTCAGGCCATGGTCCCAGGGTCCTGGGATGGAGCCCCACGTCGGGCTCCCTGCTCAGCGGGAAGCCTGCTTCTCCCTCTCCCACTCCCCCTGCTTGTGTTCCCTCTCTTGCTGTGTCTCTCTCTCTCAAATAAATAAATAAAATATTAAAAAAAAAATTTCTCGGCTCTTTCCAGAGTTTGATTAACATAACATAATAATAAAAAAAATAAAAAAATTTCTCCTTTTTTCTAAGTGAAACATATGTAACAAAATATATAACAGAAATAATTTGCATGTTAAAAAAGAAAAAATAATTAGCATGTATGTGTCCATACAGGTGCCTATTTGATATAAGATGGTGAAAACTTATTGAGGGGGTGCCTGGGTGGCTCAGTTGGTTAAGCGTCAGACTCTTGGTTTCAGCTTGGGTCATGATCTCAGGGTCCTGGGATGGAGCCCCGTGTTGGGCTCTGGGCTCAGCACAGTCTGCTTATTCCTTTCCCTCCCACTCTGCTCCTCCCCCTCCTTATGCTCCCTCTCTCTCAGGTACAAATAAAATCTTTAAAAAAAAAAAAAAAGAAACAAAAACAACTTACTGAGGATATGGGTTCTGTGTCTTCATTTTTATGTATCACATTTTTATGTGACATGTATAATTTATAATATATAATAAATGTGATAGTAGGTAATTTGTATATATTTACATTGTGCTCATATGCTTCATATATATTTTAAGTAATAGTCTTACTTTCCCATACAAAGCATTCCTGAAAGTCCAAATACATAAAATATCAAGAAGGAAAATATTAAATCAGAGATTGACATGTTCATTGAGTGGGAAGTGTTAATTCCTAGATAACTAAAAAACAAAATCTCAAATAATGCCTTTCCTTTTTAAGAATCATTTTTTCATATTCTCTAATTTTATTCTTTTCCATCACAACTGAGCATAGTTAGTTGTTCTGTGTGTATATCCAGTGATACTAAAGTTTTTCTGCCTTTGGCACCCTGTAATCATTTTCGTTTTGACTCAGTTGTGTTAAATTATAGATTAATACTGCTGTTTTTTAAAAACGAGAATTGGCATTTCTGTTTTCCCCATTTCTACTCATTTTTAAATAAAATAATAAGGGAAATAGAGTAAAATAGTTATGCAATTTATAAACCTTGTTGAAGAAGATGGCAATGATGTGGTAGCAGGTGGTATGATTGGCTAGCAGGTGTATCACCATGTTATAGACGTATTTTTTTAGAAAATGTAAAAATGTTCAAACAGTGAAAGACAGATTAGGAATATTAATGTATAACATGAGAAAGTACAGATTAATTGAAAGCAGAATACTTGTGAATGCTTGAACTAAGTAATAGATTGTACATGTAAGCAAACATGTTTAATTTAATGTAGCATTACATATTACATGTATTTATTCTATATTTTATGTCCTAAATATATACATGTGCCCATAAGCATAATTTACCTCATCACTCATTTGAGCTGTGGGAGAGTAAGATGTTATGTTATGGCCGAGTTTAGTAATGTTTTAGAATTGGAAACCAGAAATGGGATATTGAAAGTAAAGGCTTCCAGGTCCTTCACAGCTTCCAGGGGTGCTTGAAGGATGAAGAGCTTACTGTTTCCCACGTTTAGTCTTTGAGTGTTTGTACTTTAACCCTGTTTTAGTCCATGTGGACTGCTGTAACAAAATACCAAAGACCGAGTGGCTTAAACAACAAACATTTATTTCTTGTTGGGAAGTCCAAGATCAAGGTGATGGCGGATTTAGTGTCTGGTAAGGACCCACTTCCTAGTGAATAGACAGACCATGTCTCTGCCTTGCTGTGTCCTCACATGGCAGAAGGGGAGAGGGAGCTCTTGGGTCTCTTTTATGAGAGCACTGATCTCATTCATGGGGGCTTCACTCTTGTGACCTAATCATGTCCCTAAAACTCCACCTCCAGATATCATCACGGTGGGGATTAGGTTTCAACATAATTGGAGGGATACAAACATTCAGTCCATTGCAAACGCTATGAGATGAAAAGAATGGCCACATAATAAAAAGCAAATACTAACAATTTCAACAACAGGCATAAATACTTTGGTCATTAGTTACATTTTTATTACTGCTGAAATATTACAAGCCCTTACTATTAGTAAGCAGCTACTGCAGGTAGCAGTCAAGACATTTAGAGCTTTTTATATTCTTTCCCTCTGGACTGTGAGTAGCTTGAGGCTAAGAGTCCTGACTTTATTTGTGGTACACATCACAGTGCCTGGTGCTGTAGATTTTTTGGGAGTGTTAATGGAAGGAAGTATGGAAACTTATTCTTGTAACCAGTTGTATTTATATTATTTGTGAGGTTATTTAGTAGCATGTGTGGGTTATAATCATTGATGGTTCTTTGTGGTGATTGACTTTGCAACACTTGAAACTCTAGGCATCCCACCTTTAGTCCAGTGCATTCACTAACTCCCTTTAAATTTCTCTTCTTGGCTGAAGCTTCAGGTTAAAACCATTATTCTCAGGGTATAGGCGCTCTGAGCAGTGAATCCACGTTGCCCTTCCTTCTCCATCTGCTGCATAACCTGTGGCTAGAATGTGGTGTATGTGAGGGGGTTGCTGAGGTTGGCTGGGCACCAAGTGTTCAACATTGCTCCATGGGTCCCCTTCCCTTGCTATACTACTTCTGCTCAATCCTTAAGGGTCAAAATTTGCCCCTTTCCTAGATGACATAGCTTCCTGTGAAATGGTAAGAGAAAAATTAGTAGCAGGAACCAGTAGGGGAGAAGCAGATAGGCTATAGCAGATCACATCAGTTCTCTTGAAGTTACGGTAAACAGCTGTGAATCTCAGCATATCTTGACCTCTTCTTGGAAAAGGCTGACAGAGGGTCCAGTGAGTGGCTGCTGAGTCTCCCAAAACCTGATAATTGTAATTGTTTTAGTTGGGTGGATCAGATTTTGTCTGGGAGCCTTAAAGCCATGAGTTCCCAGTTGCAAACACTCTTTTAGGGAGCAAGGGGAGGGGTGGATGAAGCAGTGATAGGAATCGAATCATATTATATTGAATAATAGACTATTTGAAATATTTCTTAGACTCCCCTTATATTCTGTTGGTCTGTAATTATGTATTATGATTCTTCTCTCATTAATCAAAATAGCTAATTTTATTGTGTATTTACTCTCTGTCAGGCACACTGTGCTAAATTCTTTTTATTCTATCACAGTAACCTACAGTCCATGTTTTATCATCATCAATTGAACTCCATAGTGGCATTTCTCTCACAAAAGTATAGATAACTAATATAGATAACTAATTTTTATTCAACAGCTATTTGTACATGCAATGAATATTGTATGGAAAAAGTTGGGGGAGTCCCAATCTATGAGTTTGGAACAGGGGGTTGTCAGAGTTTGAACTAATTATGCTTATGTCTTGACAGGTATACAACTCTTAAGCTTTTAATTGAGGAAATCTTATAAAGTTGAGTTGGGGGTTCTGGAGGGGCCTACGGGAGGACCAAGGGAAACCTTTGAGCCTTCTCTCCTATAGCTCTTTTCAAAATCTTCTGAAGAAAGGAAGCCAGGATTCCTTTCCTTGGCAGCATGGCCAAGTTCTACCTTTTCTCATCTCATTTCTGAGTGCCCTGAGAAAACAACAAAACATGCACACGCTTCTTGTGTAACTGCTGTGTAAACTTGAGACCCTAACTCGCATTTAACACTGAACTTTGCCTACCTGGACAGAATAGATAAATCATACTTTTCAGTGATTTAATTGTCAAACAGGGAAAACAGTTGTTCTTTCAGTGAAGTAATGAATGATAAAGTTTTGTTTTAAATATACAAGAAATTATCAAAATTCATTGAGACTCTTATAAGATTTTTGGTGTTTTTTCCCCCAATTTTACTGAAGTGACAGCACTGTATTAGTTGAAGGGGTATAGCATGATTTGACTTACATGTATTGTAATTGTAATTGAAATGATTACTACAATAGATTTTTGTGTTTCTTAAAATATATACCTGAAATAAAAAACTAGACATTTTTTGTCTCTCTCCATAAATAATAATAATAATTTACAGATATTTGGCATATATATGTGTATATATAAATATACTTTTTTTTAGTTTACATTTTCTAGAAATTCTATATTAAAGCTAAACTATAGTTATTTTTAGTTGGAATGTGGTATATATTGCCTCTTGGATTATAGAAATCACCTAAAATGTGACATGAAAAAGGTAGTGACAAATGTCTACAAACACATTAAAGATTAAAACTGTGGCTGAGTCCATTGAAAGGAAGTGATTTTATGAATTAGTAATGAAAGTGCATTTACAGGTTATTGTCTTACTAGGGTTTGAGTTTTAACAGCTGCTTGTAGTTTAAACTAATAGAAGTCTGAATAGCCCACAATTGAGTATTCATTCTGTTTATGGATTGTTTCTTAATAGAAACACTTAATAGTATTACCTATCCTAAATTACTTCAACAGAGAGTTATAAAAATGAAATAAGATAAGGTAAGTACCTATGTTTTGTATACATGAAAAGTGCTCTCTCTCAGTGTATGTAATATAAAATTATAAAATTATATATTAAGTTTATTGAGTGGCAGTTTTAGGAGTTGTTTGAAACTTCATTTAGATCCCATGAATACAATTTGTGACAATTTCAAAGTATATTGGACTGAAAAAGTTAAATGTGTGTTATAAACATAAGATTATTTAAGTGAAACAGGAGGCCAAGTATTTTAGAAGCAGATGTCATATAACCAGTGAGTGTATTAATGTCATTTTTGTTATCATTTAATCAGGTACAAGGTCCTTTGCTAGTTATATGCTAGTAACATTTTGTTCATTTACTTCTTTTTACTGTGTGCCTGAAAACAAACTGCATATCTTAAGACTATTCTAAAATTTAAATATTTTATTAATTTTCTGGCCCTTTCTGCAATTAGCTGGAAGGAAGGATGTTTTCTTATAATCAGAATTGATAATACTAGTTTTTAAACTAATCCAATTAAAGAACACAAAGGACAATAATCTTATTTTGTTTCTGAGTGAAGCACACATGTTTTAGATAACAACTTTTAAATATTATGTCTGAAACACCACATTAAATGTAGCCATGTTATATTACTCATTATTAAAACTATCTTAATAACCATCACACATTGATTTTTTCCCTTTAATTATATAAAAGGGGAAAATTTGAAATAAATGGGATTTGAGTGTCTCTCATTTATCTTGTACCATACCAGATACTTTGGTGAGATATAGAAAAATCTCCAAACACCTGTCTTTGAGGAGTTTATGTTGTTAAAGATAGGATAAAAAATATTTTGAAAATCATTCAGAAAAAGCAATTTGTAAATAAATGCCAAAGAATGTGGTAGAATTAATAAATGTTCTAGAAGTGAAAAGAGTGAAAGTTTTAAATATAATTTCTTTGAAGAAGGATGTTCACATTTTATGATGTTGGAAGAAATCAGAATTGATTTCAAACTGTTTACTAGGTTTTTGAACCAAGACAATCTCCATCTTAGGTCTGCTGACCAGTTGTTGTAATAAAGAATCACCATCAGCCTTCTTGGAGCATAGTGTATAAGTAAAACACGCATTATCTTTTCTTTATTTCCAGGCATACTTCCGACAGGGTGTTGCCCTCCAGTACCTCGGACGTCATGCCGATGCCCTGGCAGCTTTTGCCTCTGGACTGGCTCAGGACCCCAAGAGTCTCCAACTTCTGGTGGGGATGGTAGAAGCTGCCATGAAATCTCCCATGAGAGGTAAATATGATGAAAGTATTTGGTCTGACAGTAATTTAAAGTAGGACATTTCTAGCCTTTGAAGACTTTGGACTCAGCCACTGAAAACTGATAGGTTATCAAATTTGCCAAGATTGGATATTTTACACAAAGGAAGATCAAGAATCACTGCCAGTAGCTCATGTTAATGAGGTGGAATGGGATGGTGGTAAGGCCACTGGCCCAGAAGCTTATCGACTTGGATTATATATTTTTTTTATTTTTCATAAACTGTATGACTGTGTGTGAATGAATTAACTTCTCTGGATTTCAGGGTTATCTAAAGAATACTTTTTTTTTTTTAAAATAGTCTTAAGATTCTGTACCTCTAAATCACAACACCTCTAGAAATAAATTGATTTACTCAGTTGGACCAATATGCCATCAAGAAATAATCTAGATCTAGATCTAGAAATAATCAAATAAGAGAAGATATTAGACATTCTAATATTTCATAAAAGGAAATATGGATCTAACTGTAGGCTGTGTCTAACATTTTTCAGAGGAACATGAAAAGATTATGTTGAATTAAAAGGAAAGAGAAAAGACAGACACTAGTTTATATGGTTTTCTCCTGTTGTTACTTCTGTTTTATACAATTGGTATTCTGGAAGAACAATGGGTTGAAAATAGTATTGGAGGTTGGAAGGAGTTCTAAGGCCCAAAACCGATTGGCTTCACTTTGAAGAACATTGATTTTTGCGGCAGCCCTCAGACAGATTGGGCTGAAAGGATACACCAGGTACCATCTTTGCAGTAAATGGAGACACTCAGGTGGGTTGACATCAAATAGTAGACAGCTAACAATGTTTCATATTAATTAGATTCTGTCAAGCAGAACTCTGTTTTATCTCTGAAATGGTATGTTTTTGAATGAACCTAAAAAGTTTGATGGCAGTATCATTAGACATTGTATCTAGTTTTGAAAATATTTGTGGCATTATATAGTTTTAATATATCGGCTAGTACAGTACTTGGCTCAAAATAAATGCTAAGTAAAAGTTTGGTGAACTAAATGGGACTCATATAGTCTCTGGGTGATTCATAGCTATAAAAAATATTTTCCTGGAAGTGGAAGGTTGCATGTTTTAGAAAAAAAGTGATAAGGAAATCTCTCCTCATGTGATTTTATAACCCCATACAAAGCTGAGTCTTTGCCTGTAGGAACCTAATGGCTTCTCCCACTGGGGGACCTGCTGTTAATAAACTCTGACTTAGAGCAGATGCGCTTTGGAGCTCCAGGGCTTGCGGGGGGAAGTGGACAACAACAACAAAAATCAATCTGTCTCTCCTTGCCATTTTCTGGCATTTTCTCATTCTCTTCCTATACCCTTCTGCAAGCAATTTACATGGAACATTTTTTTTATGTAGTTCATGAAGATATCACTTCTTTATTCTGAGGTGTTTCTGCTGCTGCCTTAGAATCCTGGAGTGAATGTGTTGAGATCAGCAGAATCATACTTACCATTTTGCCTTTGAAGCAATTTGTTTAGATAAATGTAAGGAAGTCTTCCCTGCACTGCGAGAATCGCTCAGTGCTGCCCGTCCCCCTTAGGGTTTTCTGTGCCATGTTCTTTCCCATCTTACACTGAGTGACCTAAGGCTGACCCTGGGGAAAGCTGCATCTTACAGGTGCCTGGAGCGCTTCAATATTTTCTCCTCTTTCCTTAAGGCAATTTGATTTATCTCATTTATTTTTAGCATTGCCTTTACCACCATGTCTATTCCAGGTGGGTTTCTCTTAACATTTTGTAGAGGCTTTTGCTTTGCACAGTGTTGTTCTAGGCATCATCTCACATCTTAATGACCTCTCTTTTTGTCATATGGTTGTAATTCACAAAACCTGTCATCATTTGCTGCCCATTTTTTACCCACTGTTTATTGTATCCTGTCTAGCTCTCTAAGTTCGTGCTGTTGTTGCGTTGCTGTGCAGTTTGGGTCACTTTACACACTTTACGTAGAGGTCTGATCTCTTGTTGTAGCAATTGTTTTTGTTTTGTAATCCTTCAATGCAACAGAGGAAGCTCCCTAGTCCAGGTACTTCTGTAAGGAAACAAAGCTCCAGTGATGTGCACAAGCATGCCTGTGGTTTGGCCTTCTGGGGAAGTTTCAAGATTTCATTTTTTTTTAAAGGTAGGGCCAATCCACATCAATATGTCCCTGTTCCCAAATAAATATGTTATATTTATCCATATTGAAACTTACCTGATTTTTTTATATTGTTGCTTATACTGCTAACTGAATTAAGTCTATTTACTTTAGTAAATCATTACTTTATGGTTTCACTCATGTTCACCAACCAAGATAGCAGTGCAACTACCTCTCCTGCAGATATATTTACATGCTTATATATACTGTATTTCCTTAAATCGCTAATGAAAGTATAAAAATAAATATAAATATAAAATGATACGCTTTTTCCTGTTATCCTTTTCCTGTTTTCCATTTCTCCTTTTCAGGTAGCCTTTCAGCAATTTCAGTTCATTGTATCTTATAAATGTTTATGCAAATTTGCATGGTAGAGCATAGTACCACTGCCAACCAAATTCAATAATATAATTACAAAGTGAGATTGAGTTTACCTTTATTTCTTCCTCTAAAGACGCCAGGGCTGCTTCTTGCTGAGGGTTCTCTTGTGTATATTTTCTCTCCTCCCGTTAATTTGGTAATCTAAAGACTATTACATTTATGGGCTATCACCTGTCGTGGTGTTTCTACCAGCTCCAGAGGATCCAGGGAAGCTAATTTTATGGAGTGCTGGTGGAAAATGGCTGTGGAATGTATAAGCTTTTCTCTCAGGGTCAAGTTGGGGCTCACCTTTTATTTGCCTAATTGCCACCCACCCTCGGAGAATTCTTTCCCTTTGATTTTCTTTTAGGTGGCAATCACTTCACAGGAGGCCTGTTTCTGAAATGTTCTGTTAGAAAAAGATTGGAATCTAATCCCAGGGCTGCCATTTGCTATTGCATCGACTGAGCAAGGTTGTTTCCTTTCTCTACACCTCAGTCCTTACCTGTAAGAGGGAAATGACAATATATACCTCCTAGTATTGTTTTGAGAATCTGCCGCTAGAAGGTATAAGCTGGCCCTTGCCGGCCACCTTCCCCGCTTCAGTGTGTTGCACTTCTCACTGAGGAGCACGTAGCAGCCATATTAATCCCGCTCTTGTATTTGTGACAGGCACAGTGGCCTGGGTGTGGAATGAACACCGCACCGCCCGCGTGGTCCTCTTGTCTCAGGCCCCAGTGCCGGGGAAAGCTGCATTTCTCCTCAGTGTTGCTGTATTTTTATTTAAATGGTCTGGGAATTTTAGAAGTGATCTTTATCCTTTTGCTTCTTCCTCTGTGAAGTGTAGGGCCTGAAAATGTCCTGGCCACCTTTAGGAAATGGGTTAGGGCTTACAGTCTGCCTGTCTGTATACTGAGGGTTTTTTTGTTTTTTTTTTTGTCTTTCCCTTACTTTCTACTCACTCTGACTTCTGTATTTTCTACCTTTATTTCTATGGAAGGCCTTTGAATACTTTTGGAACGATATACAGACAAACCTGGGAAAATGTGAAATGGCTTAGACAAAGTACTAAACATGTCAGTTGTTTTTCTTTTCCTTTCTTTTTTTTTTTTAAAGATTTTATTTATTTGACAGAAATTGTGTGCGTGCGCATGTGCACACGCACGCACACACACAAGCAGGGGAAACAGCAGAGAGGGAGGGAGAAGCAGGCTCCCCACTGAGCAGGGAGCTCTATACCAGACTGGATCCTAGGACCCTGAGATCGTGACCCAAGCCTCAGGCAGACGCTTAACGAACTGAGCCACCCAGGCGCCCCATCTTTTCTTTTCTTTTTTTTTTTTTTTGAGGAAGGCTAAGTTTTACTTTTTGTATAAACCCAAAGTTTTCTAATTGTGGTAAAATGTGTGTAACATAAAATTGACCATTTTAACCATTTTTAATTATACAATTCAATGACATTATGTACAATAACATTATCTACAGTGTTGTACAACCATCACCACCATCCATCTCCAGAACTTTCTCATTTTCCCAAATTGATACTCTGTCCCCATTAAATAATAATTCACCACTCCTCCTCCCCCTAGCTCATGGCAACTTCCATGCTATTTTCTGTCTCTGTGAATATAACTCCTCTAGGTACCTCATATAAGTGGAATCATGCAATAGTTGTCCTTTTGTGACAAGCCAAGTGGTATTTAATTTAATTGCCTCTTTAAGGAATTACCCTAAGAAAAGGGACGCCTTGGTGGCTCAGTCAGTTAAGCGTCTGCCTTCGGCTCAGGGATGGAGTCCCGCATCCGGCTCCTTGCTTGGCAGGAAGCCTACTTCTCCCTCTGCCTGCCGCTCCCCCTGCTTGTGCTCTCTCTCTCTGACAAATAAATAAATAAAATCTTTAAAAAAAATTTCAAAAAAGGTGAACATTAAAATTAAGAGAATGTAATGAACCTCACCTCTAAATTTTGCTTTTTGGGAGTACTTTACCCTCATAATACTTTGCTTATTTTCTTACCTTTCATTAATTGCTGTTCTCTTTTTGGATCACTGTTTTGGAGATTTATTTCAGAATTGTTTCTGTCAGGCTCCTAGATTTGCAGTGCAATACTATATTTTTATGATGTATCCAAGAATAATTGGTAGTGGTATCACCAGGTTTTTAGGAAAATTGAAGCTTTTTAAATCGTGTGTATGGAAATGTTACAAGGGTACTGGAAGGCTCCAGGTTTTCATAGTGCCATAGACAAATTGAGATCTGTGAAAATGTTAATTACCTTGAAGGTGATCCATAGGAGACCACGAGTAGAGTATTATTCCTTTGGAATAAGGCATTGTGTCTGTTAAATGCATTTATTCCTCAAATTCTATAAATTTTTTTGTTCTATGTCTGAAATTTATTCTTTGTTCTCCATTTGTTTTGTCACTGAAAATTCAGGGCTTTGCTTCTAACTGGTTCTCCTGGCTTTTATCTCTCCTAAACCAATCCATGCTTTGCTTTCCTCCCAGAATGAGCTTTCTAAAATGTAAGTCTGATTGGTCATTCTCTTATTCATAATTCTATTTCCCCCATGGCTTATAGGATAGAGGCCAGCCTCCTAGTATAAGAGATCTTTCCTCCCTTTCATTCTCATCTCCAAGATACCCCCAACTAAAACAACCTGCAGTTCCTGGAAAACGCTGGTTTCTTATATCTTCAATTTCTCTTTAGATGTCACTTCCTCTGGAAAGCATTCCCAGACCTATGTGGGTAGAGTTAGCACTTTGCTCCTTTGGGGGCCCATAACACATCCTACCAATGCTAAGAATTCTGGATTGAGAGTTGTATCATTATATTATATAATACTAAAAAAATGCTGATGTTTAAATGATGACACAATTCTTTCTTGTCATTTAACTTTTTATTTTATATAAACTGAAAGAGCTCTGTTGGACCCATTTAGACATAGAAGTGACAGATCACTGAGGCACCATTGTGTTCAGAGATATTAAATCCCAAATCCACGGATGTTAATATGTGAATAAATGTTTCTCAGAACTGATGAAATATAGTATATCTCTTAGCTGAGTGAGATTGTTTATTAATAGCCTCTACTATGTTCCTACAGGCTCTTCAAATGTCAGGAAATGTGACTTCGTTCATCTTAAATTCTTAAAGCTTATACATTTTGAAAGCACATAAGTGGTATTCAGTGAATGTTGCAGAGGCCCTCTACATTCTTACGGAGTTGGTTTAACATTGGCTATTTCATATATCATGCATAGTTTCTAGAAGGAAAAACATCTTAACAGCTACAGGCTGACAGATCTGTTTCACCTAGCCTGATAAAATCACAAAATTAGTCCCCTTTGCTAATAGTCTAAGTTTACTCTAGAATAGGAATTAGAGTAATAGAATAGTAGAGTTGGAAAGAATCTCAGAGATAGCTAATCTAGCCTTTATTTTTTATACACCAAAAAAAACCTTGTCCTACCACTTTTATTTATCACAAGCATGTATACCTACTAACTGAAGCTTCCGACTAATGAGTGTGGACCAATGAGACATAATTACAGCCCAAAGCAGAGAAATTTGGCATTAAAAATTTAAATTTACAGAAAGTGAAATGGACTTTTGTGAACATATCTGTGCACATATATATCTGTCACATAGATGTACACACATGTGTACATATGTACATATGTATATGTTTATGCATACATGTACACAAGTATATACAGACATAGGCATATCTATAATGTGTATAGATTTATGTAACCATCACCAGAATCACAATGTATACATTTGACAAAGTGAGGAGATTGAAGCTGTGTGGCTTTGAAGTCCAGGTCCGTTTATCCTTCGCTGAGTATTTTCTCCATAATTCCACATCTGCTTCCTTCCTTATAATATTCTCTGGTCCCTTCAAGCTGGCCTATTCTCTATCATTCCATGCGCCTGTCTTTTCCTGGCACCTTTGTTTAGGACAAAACTTCTGCCTAAAATACCCTCTACTCTCAGAGAAAGTAAAAGCAAAGACTTGTCTAAGTCCTACCTACCCTTTCTTCAAGAAATCAAGTTATATTTCCATGAAGTTTTCTGATTACCCTTAATAGTCACTCCCTTTTCCAGACTCTTATAACATGTATGTATATGAGCTTGCATTTAATTTATCTGTTAATGTATTTATAGTCTCTTTCCAATATACTGCAAATGGAAATTTGTTCTTTTACCTCTTGTTCCCTCAACTTCGTTTTTATTTAGTGAAAATTTGTACAATTGAAGATTTCTTTTCTTTCTTTCTTTTTTTTTTTGGTAGGGCATTTCCAGGTATTTTTCTCAGTCCTCGAATTGTGGCAGTGTTCTCTCTTCTTTCTAACATTATGTAGTTTTAGAGGCTCGATTAGAAGGCTCCTTTTTTGAACTTGGCCATGGTTGCTATGGTTAAAAAAAAAATCACCAGCTAAAGCATGGTATCTTTGTTGGCTGTTAGTCATTTTGGGCTCTCCACATCTGAATGCTCTTCCTGTGTTTTGGGAATTCGCTATGTTCTACTTCTGCCTCCTGCCTTCCACTGTAAAAGCTGAAATCATCAGATCCTAATGTTCCCATCCTCCTTTGCAGCTAGGACCCACGTTTGAGTCAGGAGCTAAAGGTTCAAAGAAGAAAAGACAGCACAGAATTTGTTCTGGTGGTGTTGGTTGGCAGTCGTGGCATCTGTTTTCTAAAGGTGGCGTTCAGTGATGGCAGAGGCAGCATTGGAAGCTGTTGTGTCCTGTGTTTAGTTGCGACAGTCATGTTGCTTTCACTTACGGAGCTTTTGTAGCATGATTTTGACTGTGGGTCTGGAGACCTGCTTTTTCGCCCTTGGCAGTAGCTCCTCAGTGCATTTCTTTTCTACTTATAACCAGCCAAGATTGGTTTCTTTTGTCAACAACTAAGAATTTTGCCTGGTACGGCAGCAGAGAGCCTGGCCTTAGAGCCCTGCAGTGGGTTCTTGTCTTGGCTCTGTCCCAAGCTGTCTGACCTTGGGTGAATCATTTCAACACTTAGTTGCATCATTGCTAAAATGGGTATTTTAAAGGTCTTTTCAGCTCTAAAATTCTGTTATTTTTGCTTCTGCTAATTGTCTGGTGGGATGCTAATGGGATCATCATTGGCTGCCAAACCCATCAGCGGGTACCACCAAATTCTGCTCACATTGATTTCAGTATGGTACTGTTCTTTTCTATTCTAGTAATTCCTGGGTTCTTGTGTCTGTATTTAACCCTATTGGTTAGCTAGTGTTTACTGGTACTACGCACACTTGCATCTTGACAGGTGTAAAAATGTTCTTTGTTCTCTGTTTAGTGATCTGATTGAAGGGGAAAAATGCTTTAGGCATCAATAGGTTTCAAGGTTTCTGTGGTAATGTTGATTCAGACGAGAGCTCCTCAGTGTAGAGTTGAAATTCAAAGTCATAAATTGTAAAAATTACATTTTAATGCAGTACCGTTGGCTGAGATATTCAAGATTTAAAGAGACCAGGCTTTTAATAGTTTTTTTACAGATGCACAGTGGAACAACTAATGTGAAACAGTTTTTCAGGAAAGCTAACAAATGCGTTGTAAGTGCCACATCATCGTAGTTATAGGCATTGGCTCTGCAATTGTCTTTAACAAAATGGGAGAAGGGGGAGGAGGCACTTAGAGGTCATCCATGTTCAAACCTAGCTTCAGGTGGAAAGAATCTCTTTGTGGCTTTCTGACCCCCCAGTCTGTGTCCTTTCCAGACACCACATGACAATAAAATGAGATCAACATTCATTTTGTCTTCTGTCTTACCTTAGTAAGTTCAGATGATTTTTTTCTTATGGTTTCATTTGTCACCCCAACAAAAACTGATAATACTTTTTTATGTGGTCATCCTGGTCTTAGAAGCAGCACTGGACGCTGGGTTGCAGTGAGGATGATGGGGCTTTTGTGGGGAGAGCTTCTTTTATTGCATCTTCCAGGGAAAAGGTAGATGGAGTTTTATTAATCAGCCATTAAGATTCAGATTGCACGAACATTTATTCAACGCCAGATGTGTTAGGGACTATCACCTATGTGGCAATGGCAAGTTTTCAATTTAGTGCCCATATTGTGACAATTGCTATGGCATTATTGTAAAGCATTAACACTCTACAGCAGTCTTCCTGTTTAGCTGGGGAAATGTCTTAAAAATCAACACACATGGGACAGTTCTAAAATAATTAAGGGCCAAATGGCAATACCTACTCCAAAAAATGCGGCCGAAGTTTAGATACAAAGAGTCAGGTGGGCTGGAGGGCCTGAGGATACCATACGGTGGAGTCTGAACTTGAGGGATGTGTTTATAAGATTGTGAGAAGACAGAGGGATGGAGGAGGGAGAACTGTTCAGGGAAAGTAGCGTGTCATATTCAAAGAAAGACCAGAAGAGAAGGTGTGTGTAGCTTACACATGTGCAGTAGGGAGAGGGAGATTACCTACCGGACTGAGGCTGGGGTTATGGAGTTTTATGGATAAGTGGACCCTGGGGTTGGTGCTAGATTAAAGGTTGAAGAGTTTGTACTTGAAATGGCCCATAAAGAGGTATGATACACGTTTGTTTCTAGAGCATATTACAAAAGATTGTTTTGCATATCATCCTACATTCTCTTGTTTCCTTCTTTTTTTTCCCCCAGACTCCCTCGAGCCCACTTATCAGCAGCTTCAGAAAATGAAACTGGACAAGAGCCCCTTTGTGGTCGTGTCTGTGGTTGGGCAGGAACTCCTGACGGCTGGCCATCATGGGGCCTCTGTAGTTGTCTTAGAAGCCGCTCTCAAGATTGGCACCTGCAGCCTCAAACTGAGAGGTTCTGTTTTCTCTGCCCTGAGCAGTGCTTACTGGTCTCTTGGAAACACAGAGAAGAGTACCGGATACATGCAGCAGGACTTGGATGTAGCCAAGACCTTAGGTAGGGTTGCTTCTTTCTTTTATTTCAATACAGAAAGGAAATAAAGAAAGCTGATTAGCCTGACATGGATAGGAATAACATATGCAATGAAAAGTGAGTGTGTCTCACTAAAACGTTTTGTGTTTTAGAGTACTTAGGTCTTCAGAGCTTTTCTTATAAGAAGATACCAAGGCTCCCAAAGGGCCAAGATACGTGGATTAACATATTCATTGCCCTCTTCAGAGATTTGGGCTCACAGATTTAATATCCCAAATGATAGTATTGATGGGTGAATCTTTCATCTTAATTTTAATTTTTGCCTACCTTAGAATGCATCAGCATTTTTGTCAGAGGTAACAGTACAGTGCAGTGGTTAAGAGTGTGTCCTGTGGAGCCAGATGGCTGAGTTTAGAATCCTGGTTCTGCCCCTTACTAGCCATATGACCTTCTGCAAGTTGCCTCAACTCTCAGTGCTACCATTTCCTCATTTGTAAAATAAGTGTGGCTTATGATTATGATCATCGTTACAGTGATTATTCAGTGACTTGCAGCATTGCAGTAAGAGAAGAGATACAGTAAATCTATCATCAGCACACTATTAAAGAAGCAACATATCATAGTGGGTTTAGTTAAATGACTGAATCAACAAGCTGATGGTTGTTCAGAACCAGAGGTCATTAGCAGAGCATTGAGGTGATTCATAGCAGCTGGTTTGTGTCAAGGTCTTTAACCTCTCATTTCCAGGATACCTATGTCCCTGAAGGTAGTTGTATGTTATAACAACAGTAATGTCCAGAGCTTTAAGTTCTAGGACCATAACTTACTACACAGTCTTGTAGAAGAAGAAAATACTTTTCTAAAAGAAGGCAAATGAAATCTTAGCAAATCTGTGGTTCTTAAATTAAGATGGGCATTATAAATTATAATTAACACTATAACTTAAGAGAAATTTTATCTTTTTTTAAAATCCAACTCAGGTGACCAGACAGGAGAATGCCGAGCTCATGGGAATCTGGGCTCTGCATTCTTCTCCAAAGGAAATTATCGGGAGGCTCTCACTAACCACAGGCATCAGTTGGTGCTCGCCATGAAACTCAAGGATCGAGAGGTAGGAAGTTTACCTGCAGACCAAAAACTTTTTTTTTTTTGAAACATGGAGTCTTTTTTGCTGTTCAACATGTTTTAGGTACCCTAAAATGTTACTTTTAGAAGTTGATAATCATTGCCTCTATCTTTAATCGACGATCAGGTGTTGAATGTCTACCACGTATAGACCTCGGGGCTATAGAATTGAAAGACTTGGTCCCTGACCTCAGGATCTAACAGCTTGCATTGCTCAGCTGCATGGCTCTCATCCTATTCAAATATAAAAGGAGGAGACCCGTGTAAAATTAACAAAAAACTATATCTTCATGATATATCCTTTAAATTAAAGAAGCACACATTTGGTTTATTTGAGTTGGGGTATTACTACTCCAAGCTCTTCATGATATTTCTTTGGTGGATTTTTAACTCAGGTGGTAGAAGCATATTAAGTCTGATTGAGAGACATGAATTATAATGATAAAGAATATCATCCTATCTTTATTAGAGAAATGGAATGTTAATTCTAAGAGAGTTGATATCCAGTAGATGCAGCATGATGAGAGAGTGTTTGCCAAGTGGAGAAAGGGTGGGGTTTGGAGTGAAACAGACCCAGATTGGAATCCCTGGGGATAGTACTTTCTGGCTCTGGGATCTTAGGGAAATTATTACTTAGCTCCTCTTTGCCTCTGTTTTCTTACTTAGAAAATAATGATTGTATTTATTCCATACACAATTGTGATAGGATTTTAAATAATATATATGTGCCTAGAATGGTACTTGGAATTCCATAAATGGTAGCTTCTAATATAATATTATTAACAAGAAAGAGAAGGGTAATAGAAGCAATAGCAAATTTATGAATCAATCTATGTATTGGGAAATATATTTGGTTACATCTTAGAATTTCACTGTGGGACATTGTAGAGATTAATTTTATTGTTTAAATGACCTAGCATCTTTGAGTCTCTAGAACATGGTCAGTCACTAGGAAGGAATTGGGGAAGAAAAAAACCTTTGTTTTAATGGTGTGCTGGAATCTCCCCTTGGGAAGGGGAGAGACTTCCATAAAGTCTCTCTCATCCATGGGTGTCAGAAAAAAGCCTTTGAAAGCTGCCAAATATACCATTCAAGGGAGATCGACTTTAGGTGATTTTATTCTCAAGAGAGTTACCTGAATACTTTTCTCTTTGCCTATTTACTCTTAGTTTACAAACAATTCTTATAAGCCAGATGATCTGACTTCCTGATGTTAAGAGAATGAAAAGAGGGATCAAACTTCTAGACACAGATATACTGATGGCATTAAGTGAGAGCCAGGTTTAAGAACTAAAACAGCTTACTTGTCTAGATAGGGCCATTTAGTGAAGACTCGGATGGCTATAAATATATCAAGAGCTGCATTTATACTCTATTTTCCTGACCTTTGGGATGCATATATATTAGCCCAATTACTGGATGGGGTAGAAAGACTTGTAATTAGGACATAGGATTATCATAGGTATTAAAAGGAGAAGTGAAAATTTTCTGCCTTCCTTATTCTTAATAGTGTAATTTTCTTTAGCCTGTGTTTTCTAGGTTTTATACACCTTTGCTGTACAATAAGTTGTTAAGAAATCATTGATTATAAGGATGGAAGGGACCTTGAGATAGTACTGGAACCAGTTCCCTCCCCAAGTCTTCCCCTCCTGGAACTCCCGCCTGCCACAGATGCCCTGTCTCCCCCTCTGTTGGTCTCTGCTTAACCACCACTACAGTAGTTCACAAGCCTGCCTATTGGGAAACCCTCCTTATGTATAAGTAAGACTGATTTTACCCTTCTGGGACTAGATAGAGAATGTTCAGCTACCATAATTAATGACCTGTGGCCTCTCCTTTTCCAAGTTAAAAATCCCATTAATTTTTTTTTCCATTAATTTTCTCTTCAAAGTTTCTCATTGTCAAAATTTGAGTAATTTTTACAATCCTCTTCTGCCCATTCCACTTTCACTGTTACCCATCCTGGTAGCCGGTTAGCCATAGGTTGGCCACCACAGAAGCCTTCTTTCGGGGTGTTTTGTCTAGCCCATGCTCCTGCTCTGTGTTGACATATTTATCTGATTTCTAGACTGACCTGTAGAATTTCTCCTTTCTCTCACTGTGTCTCTTCTGTTGTATTTGCCTCTGGAATCATAGGGTACTATTCATTTTCTTTTTCTTTCCTTTCCTTTTCTTTTTTTTAAAGATTTTATTTATTTGAGAGAGAGAATGAGATAGAGAGAGCATGAGAGGGGGGAGGGTCAGAGGGAGAAGCAGACTCCCTGCTGAGCAGGGAGCCCGATGTGGGACTCGATCCCAGGACTCCAGGATCATGACCTGAGCCGAAGGCAGTCGCTTAACCAACTGAGCCACCCAGGTGCCCTGGTATTATTCATTTTCTTGAGAATTTAATGTTGTTTTCTTACCTTTTCTCTTAATTTTTAAGGTTGTGTTTGAGTGCTGCTGCTTGTCTATCTGCATTTAGCTGGAAATCTTTATTCCCACATTCCTGAAACCAGCCAGTAGTTGTTAAGACTAGAGTTAATATTGGTCCAGAACTTACAGGAACATAGAAAATGCCCAAGGAGAACTATTGCAATAATATGTATTTCATTCAGTTTCAAAGTTTTAGTTGGCCAGTCTTCTATGATGTAATTCAGGTAAGTGTGACGTCTGCTCGTTAAGCACCTAACGTGCATAGCACTGTGCTGAGGGTTCTGGGTCTAGGCAGTGGGTTGGGGTCACTCCCCTGGAGGGGCTTATGTCCTCTTTGAGACGGAACTTTAATATAACAAAAATATCAAAACAATGCTTGAGCAATAAATAATAAACATTCTCTTTAATCACTGACAAGATTCTCGAATTCCAGAAGAGAATGGTATAGACTTGTGGGAGCTTTGTGAAACAGGTGGAACTCAAGTTGGCCCCTGGGTGAGATGTAGGCTTCTAAATTTGGTTAGCATATCAGTCATGTGATCCCTTTTATCACTCATGAGGGACGAGATAGTTCATACTGTTAGCACAGATCAGATACTATTTTCTACCATCCTATTCATTATGGTCACAGGCTTAGTTTTTTTAAAAGGTAATATTTATTAGTTTTATCCAGTTATATAAAAAATTCATTAAAATAACCAACCATGGGCGCCTGGGTGGCTCAGTCGTTAAGCATCTGCCTTCGGCTCAGGTCATGATCCCAGGGTCCTGGGATCGAGCCCCACATTGGGCTCCCTGCTCAGCAGAAGCCTGCTTCTCCCTCTCCCACTCCCCCGCTTGTGTTCCCTCTCACGCTGCGTCTCTCTCTGTCAAATAAATAAATAAAATCTTTAAAAAAAAAAAAACAAAAACCATAAGCCTACCATCCTTTTAATATTTTGGGTATAATCTTTTGGTCATATATGTACAACAGACCTATCCAAATGAAAATTGAAATCCTATTGTGATACTTTTATAACTTGTTTTTTCATTAATATATTTTCACTTAAGTTTTATACATTTCTATATTTTATTAAATGTTCTGCTAAAAGTCTTATGGTTTGATTACAAATTATTTCATCTATACCCCTACTGTAATACATTTAGTTTGCTTCAAAATTTTTGGTATTATAAAATCTGGAAAAACATCTTTGTAAATAAATCTTTGAACATATCTCCCATCATTTCCTTTGGCTAAATTATTAAAAGTGGGCTTGCTTGGAAAAAACATATTAAGGCTTCTGATACTTACTGCTAAATAGCTCTCAGAAAGGCTGTATCTGTTTTTAGTTCTACCAGCAATGTATCAGATATTCCATTTCCCTGCACTGGCTAACACTAGGCAATTCTAAATAATTACTAAAATAAACTAAAATGTCAAATTGGTAAGTAAAAAAGAAGTGATATCTTACTGTTTTACTTTGCATTTCTTTGATTGCTGTTGGGGCTATTTTTTTTTTTTTTTTTTTTAAGATTTATGAGGGAGAGAGAGAATCTCAAGCAGACTCCACACTGAGCGCAGAGCCCCATTCAGGGCTCGATCTCATGATCCTGAGATCATGACCTGAGCCGAAATCAAGAATTGGATGCTTAACTAACTGAGCTACCCAGGCGGCCCAGGGCTGACTATTTTTAAAAATGTCTTTTATAAAGAGCTTTAATTCTCATCCTATTTTTTTCTGTTGTGATGTTGGTTATTTTATTTTTTATGTGTTTTTTTGTTTGTTTGTTTTTGATGTTGGTTATTTTGTATTGATTTGATCCTGGGCCTTGCTATATCAGCCCAGTGAGCTGTTGGGACAGTTCGTGCTCTAATGCAAAGTTTTAATTGTCGTTGCTTCATTATGCATTTTATATCTGCTATAAGTTTCATAACATTATTCTTTTGAAAAAAATGTCTAGGATATCCTTGTCTCCCCTCACTACCCCCAAATAAACTTTAAAATCATTTTGTCAAATTTTGGAAACTCTTGCATTGGTATTTTTGTTGGAATTTGCATATAATTATGGATAAATTGATGTCTTTTCAATAGTCGGTCTTCTATTCAGGAGCCTGATCTGTTCTTGCATTTCACTTTTTATGCCCTTTCGTGATCTACACTTTTAGGGAGAGTATTGATGGCATATAGGAAGGGTGTTTGTTTTACATGTTTTGCATGTTTTGACCATGTGAAAATTTTCTCATTGCTCATAATTTTTTGTTGATTCTTATGAATTTTCTTGTAATGGGAATTTTTTTGCAAATAATGATAGTTTTGTGAATTTGTTTCCTTATGTTATATTCCCACTTTTTTCCCCCTTAATTATTACACTGTTTAGAACTTTGAAAACTCTCCCCAAAAGTATCACTCTTCCTCTTGAGTACAAAAAGTTCAGAAAATGTACTTTTTATGATTATCCTATTCTTAACATTTTATCTGTGACCTCAAATTGTACCTTGGTTTCCGTTTTGCATTATTTTGATATTGAAATAAAATAATAGGAAACTGCCTTTTGAAACAAAAACTAACCACTGTGAATGCTGTGACTGTA